AAAGAGAAAAGGAAGAAGAAAGAGAAAAAAAGAAAGAGAAAAAAGAAAAAAAAGAAAGACAAAAGGAGAAAATGACAGATTTGACTTTTGGTTTAATGAATAGTGGCACGTTTATAAACAATTTTAAAGTGTGACATTTTTGTAAAGTGGCATATGAGATGTGACATTTTTTAAAATTTCTCTAAAAATTTTGAGATGTTACAAATTTCAATTTTCTATAAAAAAATAAAAATTAACTAGAATTTATTTTTTTCAATTAAATATATTTTTTCCTTATATTTTTGAAATTTTATGGATTTTTTTTCGATTTGTTAAGTTTTGTATGTTCTTACTTTTGGATTTTCATAAAAAATTTTATGAAAATAATTACAAAGTGACCCCTAGTTGATAAATATTTATAAAAAACATCAATTTATAGTTTTTAACATGTTTACATATACTTGGTGTATGTCACCATGTATTATTATAGTTTGTGTAATTTAGAACATATTTCTATACTTGAGATGATTTGCAATATATTAACCAATACTTGGTGTAGTTAAGAATGATTTTTTCTATAAAATAACTAAAACGGTTTGCTCGAAAAGACATAAACATACGATACATTGATAACTATAAAGTCTATATAATACAATTATTTTCACAATGACACAACTTTATAGTACATTAATAATTATAAAACAGTTACTTTCGAAAGAACAAAATCTTTAAATATATGTTTTAGGATCGCTATTTTTTGTTTTTGTCATATGAGATTATAGTAGCCGAAACGAGAACTACAAAAGATTATACAAGGTCATATAGACTATACACTGGAAAGTAGAGAGAGACTAAACACATTATACACAAACCGATCGAACAAACATCACTAGCACATAGAAATTTAGAACCTGAGACCTCCTATTGAGATAAAGTACTACCTCAACAATTCGCAAAGACTTCAACCTTCGGCAAGACCTGAGAGGTGGGAAAATACCTATCGTTTACTTTACTTGAATTGAAATCCCGATAGAAGAAAAATCCCGAAATGATTTGTAGATAGAGGAACAAGTAGAGAACCACTCGAAACCGGCTGAAGTCACGACAATACCAGAAATGGAACTGGCCAGAGACCATGTAAGGCAGCGATGAAGAAGGACCTGCAAGTGGAAACAAGCACCCAGAACTAGGGACTACATCCGAAAAATGGTTTGAGAAGAAAGAAAGCAAACACAAAAAGCCTTGACCGGAGGTTCAAGCTCAAACGGGAATCAAGCGAGAGCTCAACCTAAAGGAGAAGAAACAAAACTGAGTTTACCCATAAGAAAGACAACAACCAAAACCACCATCTCGAAACAGAAGAAACCCGAGTCCAGAGGAATAAAACAACAAAAAAAAAACATAGACGAAACCATGGAGGCACAAACACGATCAGGAGCCTAGTAAAGACATGGAAGCCAGAGCAAAAAAACTGAAGAGCAGACACATGAAATCCAAATCTCACACCGGAAAATAGAGACAGTCCCAAAGTCTTTGGGATCTCAGACATATTAGAGAAAAAGGGAAGGAACACACCGCTCTGTTTTGTTTAAGCCGAGAAATCCGGAAAACCCATGTTTAATCAACACCACCCTCATCTAGGCCAATGATAAAGAGCCTAATCTGTCACCACGTCAACAACGCCAAGCCAGAGAGACCCTAGTAAACCAATTGTCATAAACATCAAAAGCTCTGACGAACTCATTTCGTCCTCAAAGAAGAAGATCCACGAAGAGCTCCACCAATAGCCACCAGCCGAAACACTAGAAATATCATCCCCTGCCGCTACCACGCCTTCATCATCTAGGATCTGAAACCCTAAAAAGTCCAAGTGACAGATCCAAAGGAACCCCTCTACAAATTCTTCCCATGCTTAAAGAAAGAAAATCTATAGAGAAGAAACCATCAAGAGCAACCAGTTGGAAGATCTAAAGCCATTGCTGCCAAGTCACCACCACCCTAGACCAGATTTAGAAAAAACCCTCGACCATGAATGTAACGCCCCAGACCTGCAGCTAGTGTCGGACGGCCCAGATGCACGGGACTGTCATCACTTCCGTTTTTAGAACAAATCCAACACTTAGGCTCGACTATCCCGGGCATCCTTCCCGTCCAACAATTCCCAAAGCTTGCCAACCCGGACCGTGATGGACGGTTGGTTTGGTCCGGACTAGATCATGCTTCATGATCACTTCATAAATTTTGAAAACACTTGTTTTATTACTTATTTTAAGGCAAAATCTAGTTATACACACATATAGGTTTGGATCCGCGATTCAAAGGCAATACATAATAAAAACTGTAACTTTGCAAGAACATCGAAATCACCTACGCTTGATGA